CCAGGCTGCTTTGCAGAAGGAAGGAGTAGCAGGAGGCAAGGAAAGAAGAAGATAGAAAGGGAGATATTTTTACTTTTTAACCTGGTTTCTTCCTGATGTTTCTGTTACAGAAGTTCTTTCTCTCTGAAGGTAGAAGCCTGGGTATGACTTCCTCTTTAGGGATCTCCCACTTTGATTTTTCTCTGTGAGGTTCTTGTCAGAGGCAGATGAGTCTGAGTGTGCCACTCTTGCTCATGAAGGACATTTCCAGCATCTCCAAAAGCTAGCATGGTCTCTTGAAGATGTCTGCCTGTCCATAGTCCTTCTCTTTCTGCAAGTATTTGGCTTCTCAGTACATGGATTAGTTTACTTTCACGTTCACAGGTTAAAGGGCCTCCTCTTGGCTGTAAGGAACAATGTCATTTAACTTCTGTTTCAAATTACTAGTGGCCAGAGCAGTTCTATCTCATTACAGATGCTTTTGTGTTCATGTGTTCACAGGAGGCCTTGTGCTCACAAGTTCAAAACCACTCTTGTCTGCTAGCACTATGATCACATGCAGATCTAGTCACATCAGGAGAAGCAAGAGGCTGAGGCCATTTTTTTACATAAAATCCCCTACCCTGCCTTTGGATTGCTTCTGCAATTTCCTTCTAAATTTTGCATTCTGCAAAGCAGCTTGAAATAATGTGCTCTGTTTCCTAAGAAAATCTTTGCAAAGCTGCTTATTTCTGGGAAATAGACCTAATCTTGGCCCATACTCCTGACAAGGGTGCACATGCAATGACTTCTCATTTAGTAGGCTTCCTGTTTCTGGTGGATGATTTCAAGAAAAACATGAGTGCAATTATAACTCTGCTGTCTGAGACTGCTTTTAGGTGACCTGATTTGAGCTACCAGCAAATACTACTGTGGTTTTAACAACGTTTAAGTCTCTGAGTAATATGCAAATGGTTGTTGAAGGAAGTGGAGGTCATGTCTACATATGCGCAGTTTCTGGTTCTCCCTTTGCCAGGGGCTGAGGTGAGCACTGTCTGTGATGTCCAGTACATGCCAGCTGTACCAGGACAGGCTGGGAGTTGCACTGGAATAAAGCTGGAGGTGATGTGGTGGGAATCAGGGATAGAAATGTCTACAGTTTTGATGAAGAAAACAAAAAAAAACAAAAACAAATCCAAAAAACTCTTCTCTATGCTTAGGCTTTCCTTTTGTCACCACACAAGTTCTTTAACCTCCATATTTTATTTCCAGTTGGTGCTTGCTTTATTCGGGCAGGAACCATGACAAAGGGGCTGGTAGCAGGGGTGTCTGACCCCAGGCATGGTTCTCATACATGTACATGTCTGACTGTTCCTGCACTAAACGTTACAGTCCCACCCAGGGTATCTATAAAAGGGATGTTGAGTCAACAAGAAAAGCTCGCTGTGAGCGTGAAGAGTCCTCACCCCTGACACAGGAGAACAACCTCCTAATGCTGCTTTTCTCAGTGCCCTACCCCAGCAGCCACAACACAGTCATGCAGCAGTGACACAGCCTGGCTGGCTGGCTGCTCCTGTGCTGCAAATTAGGCTGTGACACCTCCTCTTCCTCTCTGAAAGACTGGGGCTAGAGACCTGTCTTGTCAGGAGGGCTGTGATGTTCCCTCAGCCTCTAGGTCTGGTGGATCGCCATAAGCATTCTCTCTAGAGGGTTTTCAATTACAGACAGCAGAAAGAGGATTATTGCACTTACCATATGAACTAAACACAGCAGTTATTGTTGGGATCTTAGTGAGAGAGAGGACAGTTTTTCAGAAAGTGGGAGTTCATCAGACCATAGGAGTTACATTTATCTTACTTAATATTATCTATGCAAAAAAGTAGGTGTGTAGTCTAATCTAGTGGTCTAGACTCATTCTACAAGAAGTAGGGAAAAACAGGCCTCTCCAAGGAATGATGTTTCTCATGCTAAAATAGCTGGGATGAATTGTGTCTCAGAGCCTCTTAAATTTTAGGTAGCTAGGCAGGGAAGCTACCGCTCACCCTCTTCCAGTGCCAAATCCACTATAGGCTGTAGTATCTCACACTCTGCCTGTTTCCATCCCTTTGTTTTTTCTAACTCTGCCTCCTGCTGCCCACTCTGTCTCCCCAGGTCCTTTCCCTGGTCAGGGTGTCAGAGTCCACCGAACCACTGCGTGGCATTGATGGCTTCCTGGAGGTGTCTGTGTGTATCATCTCTCTCCGATCGATTAGGATAATCTTTTTTAGGATGGCCTCAGCTCCATATACCCATGGAGGATAGGATACATCAGAATATTCATCTTCCTGGCTTCAGCATCCTTGGCCCTAATGGGATTTTGTAGGGGAGTGGGTTACAGAGAAATGACTGAGATGTCATTCTTCCTTTTGTTAACACAACAAAAATCAGCCCCAACTGCTGCCACAAAAAAAAATCAAGGTAGCTGTATTTCATTAGCTTCCCAGCTCCCTCAGCATGTAGATAAAATTAAACCTCACCTTTCTTTCCTTTTTCTTCATGTCTTCTCTGTTTTCCCTACTAATTTTATTCTATAACTGGAGTGATCCTCCCAGAGTATTCCATTTGCAGATACTTTGAACCAGCATATGTCCAAATGTCAATGCCATGGCCTCCATCCTTTCTACCCTATCTTTTAGCTGGACATGGAAGAGAGTATCTAACAGTTCTCCTGCGTTTTCTCTAAGGAGAAAGTAGCTGGTCCTACAGGCTACTTCTGAGCTGTTAGTTTGTTGGACCATATTGAGTAAACCCTCTTCCCAGCACTGGTTGGTAATATCACCTCTCAGCCCAAAAATACAAAATACGACTTTCTACTTTCCAGAAGCTTGTATTTACTTCTTCCTTCCTATATTATTTATCCTTCTTAGTTCCTCCTTCCTTTTGTTATCACTAGAGGACTCTCTTTTCCTTTCATCTTCCCATTTTTTACATAGTTTTCACTCTTTACCTTTTATTCCCCTAGCCATCTCCTAACTCCTTGCCTGAGAGCTGCTGCACTCAACTTCATATCTGAAATATGTACGTGCTGCACAACTTCATGCTAACCAGCTATTTCCTAACCTCTTTCCCAAGTGTATAACAAGCCTGCTCATGCTCTTGCTGCCATCTTTCTACTTTCCTCATCAGGAAATTTGTTTGATACTTTGTCAGTATTGTGTTTCATCTGCTTTGACAGTGTGATGAACAGGAATTAAAGGGCGATGAAAAAAATAGCTGATATTATTTCAATAACAAGTGAGGTTTTTTGGTGTTAGGGGGTGTCAGGGAAAGGTTTCATTCTGCCTTAATACTTGGTGGTCCTGAGGTTCTGTAAGGCAAATTAGAGAAAGTTCACAAACAAAGTTTTAGAATATAGATAGGATACAGAGTACAGGATAGAATACACAAGATTCAGAATATAGGATTAAAACACAATTTCAGAAACTTGGATACTGAAATTGCTCCTGTCATCTCTCTGTGTTTTCTTCCTCAGTCCAAATATTGATACTTTTCTGGAAGTGCCATTACTTTTATTTGATATTGAGAATTAGTAATTTACAGGATGAAAAAGCCCTTGTCCCAGAGACCGGGGCATTTCTTTCCTTGAAAATGGTCTTCAGCTGCACATCAACTTTGATTCTGATTTGAAGATACTCAATTCAGTGATCCTCTGTACCTGCAGAACTGGTATCTTTGGAAAATGACAGTAATTTTGCAGAAGATCTTGCTCCCTGTTCATCTACGTGTAATTGGTGGAAGTAGAATTCCTTTCAATCACCTTGCATTCATACCTCACTGCAGTACTACTCTAATGACAGGATAGTTCTGTACCTGCTACTTAAAGATCCTGCAGTATGTATGCAGGTTGGAGAGATTCCTGTTTCCCCACACAGAAGAGAATCTATGATTTTTGGAAAGGCAAAAGCAGTAACCACATGTAGAGGGGGGGGAAAAAAACCCAGGATCTTGATTCCAATCACGCCTGAATAGAAATGATTTGGAGAATAAGCAATGTATTTGAATCCATGTGGGGCTGGAAAATGGCTAGAATTGGTCTATTTTCAAGATGAATGGATCTTTCCAAACAGTTGTTATGCAAAATACAAATAAACCTATGAGAAACTGATGATTCTGCTGAATTTCAGAAAAACACATATGATTGGCCATTTAGGTCTTTCCATTTCTTTTTATAATTGTGTTTTGGGTTGGTATAGTAATGCTTATGTACTTAAGGCAGGCTTGTATGAGTGTGTGTCATGGCTGCTATATACAGATCCTAGTGGCTAATCCCCTCCTCACAGCTTTCTGTGAACATGCATTGCATGTTCTCAGCACACAGTCCAGAACCCTGATTTCAGAACCAAGCTGAAGGACAGGTATCTGTGTGCAGACATCACTCACTGGTACGCCAGTTACTTGGGCTGCCTGAAAGCTGCTGATCTCAGTTCAAACCTTTAACCAATAAAAGCTGATCGCTGAAAGCTGCAGACATGGGGAAGGCCATGGGTAAGAAAAGATAGCTCACTCCAGCTTACACAAACACAAAACAAAACAAAAACTGTAGTTGCACACAAGTATAATTAATTCAGGGCAGCTCTTGGTTACCTTTTTCCTCACAGAATCCCCCAGGGAACATCCAAGTCATGGCAGTGAAGAGTCAAAAAGTGCTTACACCTCCTCCTACCCTCTCACACAGTCTCTTCCCAGGCGCTAGATAGGGGGGCTTTCCCCATTGCAAGTCCTTGAGACTTATTTTCTCCCCATTACATTCCTCTCAGTCCATTGTTTTATCACAGCACATTATTCACCTTGGTCATAAGAACCTGCACTACTTTTGAGGTGTAAAGGAAGAGATCTGACTTCATTTGCACCAACGTAAAGCAGGAATAACCTTCATGAAGTTGGCTGTGACTGCACTTGGGTGTTAAGTTTGCATCACTGGGAGATGGTTCAGGACTAGTGTCCCTAAGCACAGCATCTCAAAATGTAATTCACTCATACTGAGTCCATTGCCTCTAGCACCATACATTTAATGGTATTTATTGGCTTTTAAATCTTTACTAATGGGTAAGACACAAGGGGGAGAGAAATACACAACCCTCTACTGACGTTCTGTTAGTAATTAGTTGGCTAAAGGTTCAGACAGACAAATTCCAGCAAACTTCATTGAGGTAAGCAAAGAAATCACTATCCTCATCTCTCGTGCCCGTCTGCCACAGCTGTCTGCTCAGAGAAATTTTTCCCTACGCTTTTTGTTCTGTAAAAGCCATCCTGTCTTTCCAGAGGCAGGAGGTCTTTTGCACTATGAAAACACTGCCTCCAGAAAAAAAGTCTTTAAAATGAGAATGTGCCCTCTATCTGAAACATGGATTGAGCTCTAAACCCCAGATTACCCACTGAAAATGCATTCAATCAATAGATGCTGCAATTGGCTAAGAATAATCCCTCTGTGTGCGGGGGGGGAGAGGGTTAGGCTGCCTATTGTTTTTTTGAGCAAGCTCAAATCTTAGCATGAACAAACCTGGTAAACATTTGTACAAAACCCCACATTAAATTAGGTAGAGTAGGATGCCCTTGGTGAGTCAGCAGAAGCCTCTGCCTTTGGCAAGTCCTGACCTTCCTGTCATTCTGATCCTACCAAGTGTTTATTACAGTGATGGCCATAGACTGGCCATGGTGCAAACTGGGCATATTTGTTTACTTAAGAGGACATAAATCAAATGGAAAAATATTAAGATTCACAGAGGGAGACTGGTACATGGGGAAATAGTGACATGGAAGAGCCAGTCGGTCCAACCCAGGGAAAGCTCAGCCAAGAGCGTAAGGCATTTGCAGAGAAATCCAAGAGCCCTGATAACTATTCCTGTAGTGGTGCCTGCTGACCGATGTCTCTGGCTGCCACATATCCCCAAGACCACATGATGAAAGGCAGGAGACAACCAGAGACCCTTATTTATCAGAAGGACAGTAGAAATCCCACTGAACCTTTACCCTCATCAGCTAGCCCTGGTAGACCCCACTGCAGGTCATCTGTGAGCGTAACCCTGGAGCGAGGACATTTCTCTGTGAGCCGTCCGAAAACAGATGTTTGGTGTGTTACAAACAGCACATTTTGGAAAGTGACACATGGTCCTTTCCTCTCTGAGACAGGCTTCGAGACAGTGCAAGAGAGAGTGGCCACAGCCACAATCAGCCTATCTACAGTACAGTACAGTGTATATCTCTTAACAGTCATTCACGAATAGAGGTCTCAAAGGTATCATTTTAGGGAAGACCGGACACAGATCCAGCGCCTAGGCAAAGAACATGCTGATGTAGAGATGGTGAAGGACTCCAGGTAGGCGCACTCAGAGTGATTCTGTATCTGGAACCTGAAAAAAATAGAACAGAAGATAACCATTACCAAATAATTCCTACTACAGAGCCAAATGTTATAGCTCACTGTGAAACAAAACTTCGGCTGAAGTAGCTTCCAATTATACGTATCCATTTTAGACTGAGCTAATATAGCTGACTTAAAAGCTTGTGATCAAGTGCATGCTTTAGTAAAATCTGGAGGGAACAATGTTCTGTATTTCTCTTTTCAAGCATCAACTGTTTAGTATAATTCAATAAAGCCTAAAGCACTAAAGCTTAGAAAACAATTCCCTTAAGCTCTAAGACACGTGTTTTGCTTCCAAACTAAAGGCAGAACAAAGGGAAATAATTACCATGATCACTTCCATTTCATAGAAAAACTTTGCTCTATCTTGTGTGCACGTGATAGAGGACAGAGCCTTAGGACAAGAGTCGTAGACAACAACTTTGGTCACTTGGGATATGGTAGTTTCAGCTGCTAAAAGCAAAATGAGTGTGACAAATCTGGTCAGAAAAGCCTGGTTAGCTCATGCAGTACTGTGTGAATCTCCATTTCTGTGAATGGTCTAGACCAGGCATCACATGGTAACAGGAGGAAAGACAAAAGATAGTTTATGATATATGCTGCCTAAAACTACTGAGGTGATAAATGCTGTGGAGAGCAAGACAAGGGGAACTGACATTTGGTGGGCCTGAGCAGAGCTGTTGTAACTCACGCATCTGCTAAAATAAGCAGGGAAAAAATCTGGGATATCTGCAGGTTATTACAAGCTCACTAAAGTAGATAGGATTTTACTTATTGGGCTCCTTAATCCATCTGAAGAGGATTGTTCCCTCACACCCATCACTTCACTCCCTCTCATCTGCAAAAAAAGGTATGTGAGAGAAATAGATGACATGCTAAGACCACTGATGAACAGACAATGTATCTGAAGAAATCATACTGCAACTGATATTGAACAAGAAAAATCTGAGAGGGGTTATGCTGGCTCTGACCAAAGTTCCAGCTCCCCTAAAATCCTTCCTCCAAAAACAGTCAGAGCAACTGCCTAGAGAAGAGTATTATTATAACTGGATAAACATTTAATGATGGTCCTGTATAGTTCCAACAATCTGCAGCTCAGGGACTTCCTAAGCCTGAGATGGTGACTTTATATTTAACAACTCTCTGTGGATTGTTCTTCCATGAATTTTTCTATTCAATGTTCTATTCAATGTTCTATTCAAAATTGTAGCAGGCACAACTTTCTGCTTCACAGCTTAACTATTTTTTTCGACACTGCTACTTAATAATTTTGCTTGATGACCACTGTCTTGAAAGAGAAAATAAGTTAGTTGTTCTCTATTCATGCTGTCCACTTCATTCATGATTTTATTTTCATTTCCCTCCTCCTTTGCCTGAAGAGTCCTGGTTTAGTCAATTGTTCCTCCCACTGAAGACAGCGTGTTATTTCTATTATCTTTATCCTCCTCTGAACTTTTTCCATTTTTTTATGTCTTTTTTGAGATAGGAAAATCAGAATGCATGCAGTACTCAAAATGTGGGTGCATAACAGATGTAGGTTTTGGCATGTAAGTAGATCTAAGTTTTGTCCTTTGTTTTATTCTCTGTCCCTTTTCTGATCATCCTAATGGCTGGTTTCATTTTCTGATGATGACAGAAATAATACTCTCATAGAACTATTAGCAATCCAAAGGCTTGTTCCTGAGCGGTAATAATCAGATCAGAGTTAATTGTTTCACAGGTAAAGATAGGACTCTCTTTCCTGCTATACAGTGTTTTACATTTATTCATAATGGATTTAATCTGCTATTTTATCATCCAACAACCCATTCTGATGGAGTTGTTCTGTAGTTCTTCACAGTTGAATTATTTTACTGACCCTGAATAACATAGTAACATCAGCAAACTCTGTCACCTGAGTATTCACCTCCTTTCCATGCTATATTCAGCAGCTGCCTAAATCCCAGGATAGACGCCTATGTGATCTCAGTGGTGATGTCACTTCAGTGTGAAAATGGATCATTTATTCCTATTCTCAGTTTTCTATGTTTTAACCATGGACATATTCATAGGATTTTAATGGTTGAAACTCAAGAGAAACAAGGACAATGCAGCTTGAGAAAGAATCAGCAGAAACATATGAAATACCCAAACAATAGGTTAAAGGATTCAGTATCACCACTCCCATTGTGTCTGTGACAATCCTTCTCTCCTCCTCTCACACAAACATATATACATAGCAAAGAGTTACAGAAGCACAATCTGGTCACCAGCCACATACAGCCTAAAACCACAGCTGAATAGCACAGACAAAAGAGATAAAATTTGTATTTCATCATGCAAAGCAGAATGCATACGTAGCACAGCAATATTCCCGCTACCACGAAATGAATCTTCTGCATAAACATGGAGTGAAAACAGAAACGCAGAACAGTATCAAAACCTTGATTCCCATTTACAAGTCAGGCTACAAACCCAATGCTGGCGCTGAAATCACTTGCATTGTTATTTGTGGTGGAATCCTTAAAAGAACCTGTCACAGACAGGAAATTAAGAAAAACACACCTGATGTGTTTGAAGCTATGGGATGTTCAATAGATTGGAAAACCAGGCTATCTACAAGTACTGCAACAATAGTTGGCACTATCAATACAGCCCCAATGGAAGTAGAACTTCAAAGGATGGATAAACTGAGTATAAATGAAGCAGCAGAGGCTTATCAGAGGAAAAACCTCTGCTGGGATCTAGCTACTATAGACTAGACAAGCCAAAGTTCAGTAAACCTATTTGAAAGATGCTGATTCAACTGTACAAGAGATATTGCAGGAATAAGTGGATGAAATATTAGAAATACTGACAGGAGCCAAAGCCACCATCAGTGATGTTCTAATTTATGGCAACAACACAGCAGAGTACAAGAAAAACTAATGGCACTGATGATGCATGACTGGAATATGATTTAACTTTGAATCACAATAAATATGTCTCTAGGAAAAACAAATGAGTATTTTTGAACAAGTTATATTGTAAGAGAGGGAATGAGCCCTCATGAAAGTGAAGGTGAGAAAGCACTTAAAAGCACCACATTTTCCCTAAAGATCTAGAAACTACATAGGGATGGTGACCTACTTATCAGGATTCCTACCAGGATTAAAGGAAATTCACAGTGCATCCATGTGAATTGGGGGGAGGAAGGAAAATGAGTGCCTGTAAATAACAACTCTGGCAAAATCACCAAAAAGGAGGAGGATCAATAAGGGCAACACCCTTTATACAAAACACCCTTTATACAAAACAATGAATCCATGCTGCAAAGATAGAAACAGAGCCACAGCAACTGGCACTGCACTATGACTAGAAAGCACCATGTCTGACAAAAGCTTGGCTAGAGAAGATTTGATTTCCATTTCCCACTGTCACTGGATGTCAAAAGTGCCACCAATACCTGTGTCCTTCCAGGAATTGTTAAAATAGATGGCAAAGTCCTGAGGAACTTCCCTGAAAAATCTCTTCTAGTTTTTCCACTGTTAATAGCCCAGCTCAAGCTCTTACAATGACATAGGTATAAACTGAAAGTAAAAAATGAGCCTGGGGAAGAATTCCAGTCACACATCCTTTTCTTCAAAATTTCTAAGAAGGGCAAGATGCTAAAGGGGATGCAGGTTTAGAAAAAACAACGTCTAATGTTCATGACACTTTTATTAGTGTCTAAAACCAACAGAGTTGACTGCAGCAGCTGGACTGCAGCTGAAGGGAGGAAACAGTGATCCCAAATGAACTGTCTCTGAACTACCTGGGAAAGACCCAGTGAGGGCACTTTGGTATGATGCAACAAAGCAGGAGCTCTATATTTAATATGAATGAATGCACAGAGAGAAAAAAATCTTGGGACAGTGCTGCATGAGAACAAAGTGGCAGAAAGAGGACTGCACAGGATCTGTAACAATAAAAAAAATGGATCTGGTAGAATTGCGTACAATTTCAATAGAATCATTCAAACACAGGTCTAATCACTGTCTCCTGAGAGTTAATGAAGACAAATGACTCAGCTACAAACACTATCACTAGCCACATTGCAACAGTATTTGCTAGATACTGAGTATTTTAGGAAGACGATCACAAAGAATCACATTGAAAATCAAGAATTTGAAAAGAGACTGAAATGTCTACACTATGCCCTGAAAAATATGTACAAATTAAAAGTAACTAGGGATAATAAATAACATTGTCTTGATTTGCTGAGCTACCAAAACACCCTTTTTTAATTGGGGACTTCACTGCATTCACGCTATTGGATTTAGACTGGTATTAATTACAAAAGAATTACTTTTCATAGTCACACAGTTACAAATCACATCAAAATAAACTGTTATGATAGAAATCATTTTGTGCTATAAACCCTAATTCTCCATTTGTTTAAGTACTTAATGGTATTCTCAGCGTCCTGAGTGCCTGTGTTATGGTAATCATAAGGAACTTACAAGTCCACCTCCAAGGCAATGTCATTCTCCCAGCAGAAGCTTTCCCCTTTCTTCCGCAGTCCAATCCAAGAGTCTTCCATTTTCAAGCGCTTAGCTAGGGAATGCTTAAAGAAAAAAAAAAAAAAAAAGGTATTTTGTCAAGATGGGTTCTCACAATAAGCAGCAAATCCCTCCTGTGACCTTTGAGGAGGACTAATCTACTAATCTATCATTCTGCCATCTAAGTTTTTCATTAGGCATTATGAGCCAAATTCTGCCTTTGTTTGAATTGATTCTTTTAATATCTTTACCTTAGTAAAGTTATTCAGTTCTATACCCTTGAAAATTATTACTGTTTACTATACACAGTAATATCCAAATACCACATATTGGTAGCACGTCTGTATATTTTTATGAATCTGTATGCATGGAGCTTGGTCTGAATGGCCTAGTACATCTAGGCATGCCATATCTGCATTTCAGATGAGCATACTCTCTCCCCTTCCCAACTCTTATTTATAACCTTGTGAGCGTACAGATAAAAGAGTAAAAGACAGCTCACTGCCTCAGAAGTTTATTGCAAACTGTACCACACAGAGCAAAGAGTGCTGCGAGGTAGCAGAGAAGTAGCACAGGTAATAGCACTCCAGCTATGTTAACATAATAGAACTCCCTGCAATGAGATATTCTCAAACTTTGTGAAATTAAAAATAATATAAAGATTAGCTGTCAACAAGGATCTCAGGAATATGAAATGGTTTTTAATGGACTAAGGAATATAGTCTTATATTCCTCCACCCTCGTCTGGAAACTTCAGTTCAATACAGTTCAGAAGAAACTGTCTTGGCAGAGTCCCAGTACCACTTATACATCTTTTTGTGTACCTGCTTCTGGTGTGGCTAATACTGTCAGGTGCTGAAGACCAGACACCACATTGCACAGAGCACTGGTCTGACCCAGTAGGCCAATTCCAGCATTTCTATGCTCTTCTTTCGTAAGATGTTCACAATTTGCAGGTATAAGGCATTTCAGCAGCAGCTTAAATACCACCAGCACTGCCTACCAATTCACCAGCTGAGTATCACAGACATTAAGCTGGAAGTTAAGCTTTTAGATGAGTAAGGAAGAGTGGCATTTACAAATTTTTAAAGATGTGATATCCTACTGACAGGGCAACAATGCAGCACATGCTTGCTGGAGAGGGGACAAGTTGGCAAGACGGCTGGAATTATTGGCAAAGAAGTGGAGGCTGATGATGGAATAAAATGGAGGATCATACTCAGTAAAGGAATTAAGGGGAATGAAGAACTAGGCCCTGCATCTTTATTACTGTTAAAATTCTTGTCGCTGTAAAAATATTTCTTAGCTTAGGTCAAATTCAGATATGACCTAATGTGTGTAATTTCACTGAGATTTTCTCCATTTCACTATCTGCTACACCAGAAAAACATGTGCCAACCAACCAGAAGAGCAGCCTTTTGACCTGTGTTCAACAATCACAGTAATAACAAAGCACAAATGTCAGTCTATTTAAAAGCAAACTCTTTGATCAAACACCTTGCTCACTGACATTACTCAGAAGACAACAAGTCTGTAAGAGCAAATTCCACTTTTAGTAGCATACAGTAATAAGATGTCACTGATTCAGTCCAACTGGGCCATAATACAGGAAAATTAAGTTATTCTAACAAAATTATTAGAATGAGAAAATGCCCAAATCAGCTTCAGTGGGGGTATATTTCCACCACTGGTATAAGTATGCATCTCTAAGAGGAATTAAGGCGCATCTATAAAGAGATACAAGCAGATAAACATGGATTATTCCTATTATGCTGAGCAATGGCTTTCAGGATTTGGTTTCTGATGGAAACCACAGGATCTGCTTATTTGCCTAAACTGGGAGTTGGACAGATTCATACCTGCTTTGGAGAAAAAGAAAATTAGGCAAAAGATTCAGTTCATAAAAAGAGCTTTCCACAGTCACTCAAGTCAAATCCAGGCGCAAAAGCAGTATGGGGAAGCTTGCACTGCTGTTGCACCTGCTGCAGCCAGCCAGTCAATCAGCTATGTACACTGACAAATCCAGTACTTTTCACTACCTGAATTCACATAACATGGTTATTTTACAAAGAATTAAATGATATGCATTGCATGAAAAAATGAGACAGATGTAGATAATGGTCAAAGGAAGAGAGAGGAATTTAAGTTGTGTTTTATTTTCTTATCCCATTACCATTTCTTCCTGGTTTTCAAAAACAGCAAGCACAGATCTATTCTTAGCACAGAAGGTCTGACTGGCTGTCCAGTTTTGCTCTTCCTCTGAGATGAAATAACATTTCTTTCTGTAACCGATCCACTCACTGGGGCACTGTTCAGAAGGAAGGTCTTCATAGACTACCTTGGCTAAAAAGGAAAAGAGGATAAAATTTTTACCTAGTAAAATCTTATCATTCACCAGCATAACTCAATCTAAAATTTAGATTTTTAGAAAGCCAGTGCCACACTAGATGCCAAAAGACCAACCAAAAGAAGGGCAAGGGACCTAACTGTCCTTTTGGGGTGCAGAACTCCCACCGTCTTCAGCTGAGAATACGGGAGTTGAGGATTGCAGCCTAGTTATTAAAATCACTAGAAAATACGTAGGTTTTGAAAAGACTTGTGACTTTTAGAGTATTAGAAGTGCTGAAAATCTATGGCTTGCCCTTCACATGGGTTTTAATTAGAAATAGGGTAATAATCCTCATAATACCTTACCTTATTAATCTAATTCACTCTAAGTAATAAAGTTGCCCGAATGCCTATAATTAAGATATTTAATGAAGACAAGTTGCTTTGATTTTGTATCAGACTCTTAAGTGCTCGATGATAGATCTGTGTGAAGATAAGTAAATTAGATTTTGATGTCATGATGTAAATGAAATTTGACTGTTGATGAAGGTGTAAAATACATTATTTGGAGATAACAGTTTGGAGAATGGTTCTTTGGAGCTGTTCCCCAGGATGTTGTGATGCTCTCTGTTCATCTTGTGCCTGCCACACTAGGCCTGTGGGTGTGAGAGGACTTAACTGGCAGGTTTTGTTTCAGTTATGAATTTGATTTCTGCCAGCAAAGAGAATTAACTTGCATTTACTGTGGTTCCTATTTTCCTAACAAAATTATCTACAGTAATGATACGACTGATTAGAAGGACAAACCACATAAAGCTAATACGAACTACAGCATGCCACGATCTTTATTAAGTGGTTAGAGAGTGACCTTTTCTGTGCAGCATCATATCCTTTATAAAATATCCAGTCTCACCTGGAGGCTATGGTAGATTTCTGGGTCATTCTGCTGGGGTGGGATCTAGACCTTCCTCACCACATTATCCACTACTGAAGCTTGCTGGTGGCTAATACTGAAGTGAAAGTAATTGGCCCTTATGTGAGCAGTAGTGCTTGCAGGAAGTGTATTTATCTCCCAGGCTTGTTAGCCTGCTGTTGCCACAGTCCATCTCTGTTTTCCTTTCTAGCCAGCCGTTCTGTTCACCATAATTAGAAACTACTTGGCAGGCCACCTATGAGCACTGGCCTCACTCCTTCCAAGAAAACGTGACTGCTTATTTTTAAACAAACGCCTGCCAAAGGAAAGGAAAATGCACGTGGACAAATGCCACTGTTGTCCTTGATTCACTCCTAGGTGGGTGCAGAGAACCTCTCTGCTACACCACGTGCTGCTGCTGGGGCCAGGCAGAAGATCAGTTTAGTGTAGGGACTCACGGGTTCCCTGCATGGACTGGGCTGAGCAGCCTGAGCCACTGACACATGGACCCAGTGACTTGGGCTACCTCAGATAACACCAGGTAGCACAGCTTTTACTCCTGTAGGTGAGTTTGGTGTGGGACAGTAGGAGCACATCTGGACTCCATTGTGCCAGGGGCAGGTAGGGCTGATTTTTTTTTACCTTAAAAATACAGGATGCAACACAAGCTGATTTTTAAAAATAAAAAGGCAGAATGGCCCCCAGAGATCATTTATGAGAAAAATAAGCTAGCCACATTACGCAGTTGTCTTCCAGTGTGGTGATAAGGATGCCATCAAGACTGAACTTAGGAGCAGCTGGAGTCTATGCCCTAGAGAAGCGCTGCTGATCTAATGCTCTGTCTGGTATAATCCGAGAGGTTACCAGCAGATGAGGACACAGGAGGAGCATGTACCATGTGGGTGACCAGGCAGGATACTGTTCTCTTGAGAGCAGTAAGGATGAAGCCAAAAGAAAATAAAAAAAAGGGGAAGGGGGTAGTTTACATCTGAATCATCTGGATTTTATATATAGGGATAAAAAAATTGGATCGGCAAGCTTCACTCTTATTTAAAATTATGTCTGGAGCTTATTCAACTTTATAATGATACAAAACCAACTGAAATAGTGATGGAAGTCACTAGTTTTGTTTCTGACCCTGCAGGCAGTGCAGAGTACTAGTGTTAGCGTGTGTGCTTGACTTCTGTGATCCTGGAGCCCAGCAGGGAGATGAAACCTATCTCAAATGGAAAGTGCTTTCAAAAGCTTACCAAATACAATGAACAGCACAAGTCCAATGAGAAACAATAGGCCTGTGAAAAAGAAGATGATTAAAGTCTTTGAATGTATATAGCATCTAGGCTCAGATTATATTTCAATATTGAGTGAGACAGCATCAGGATAGCCTTTAATTAATGCAGAGCATTAATTTAATTAATAAATAATAAATAAATTTAATTTAATGTAAAGCATGGACATGCATGTCAATGCAGAGCACTTCTGAAATCAAACAAGGCAGCCTGAATTGGTATCTGTGTAACTGGACAATTTAAAAAAAATGGCCAACTATCACCTAATTGGCCTTTTTTGATCCCTGAAGTTTTAGACAGATGCACAGATCCCTGTACAGCAAATTTAAGTCTTCCAGTTCCACATTTATCATCTCCAGTGTGTTCTGCAGATCTCTTCGCAATAATCTCTGGAGCCCCAGAATCTGTAGGTCATCACTGACTCAAATCAGGCCATACGTGTGCTTGGAAAACAGGAGAATGTTCTCAAGCAATTCAACTATCAAAGGTGGAGGTACAGAGCATGGCTGCAATACTGAATCAAATGTATTTTCCCTTTGTCATGAACTCTCTCTCGTGTGGAAAATTCCATGCAGATGTGCAAGGTGATTTGTTGCAATGGCATAAAACTATTTTTTTTAATTACATCCGGCTTCACTTCCTACCTTCTATCCAAGAGTATTTCAGACAGGTAAACTACCATGTGGAAAAATATCTGTTCATACAGAAAAGAGCTCTTGGAGCAAACTGAAAAAGGTATCTTAATTTTTGCATTGACAGGTTTGCCTAGAAATAAACTCTCAGGTCCTTATCTTGTCCAAGCCAAGAGACCTGTAAACAGTTTTGAAGGTAGACTTAAATCCCAAATTGACTGTTCAGATTTTAATAGACACAGACTTGAGCTGACATCCTTGATTTTGGGTGTTCAGTATATTCTGATTTTAAAAATCAGAAATCACTACAGTCTTCACTGCCTGCAAAAATCTTCTAAATACTTTTCTCCTCAAAAATATCATTTTTGCTTCCCTTCTCCAAGCAGTCATCCCATCCATTCCACCCTTTCAAATCCAGGTTCTCCCCAACAACCTAAATCTTGACCCATCCCCTTCCCTCTCATTTTTTTTCCTCAGACCCATATTGCCAAGTCCAAATCTGAACCACAAAAGGCTGGGCGTAAATTATAGCCTACTCAGCTTCCTGTAGGAAGATGTCTTACCTAGCACCCCAAAAAACAAAAAAACCTTACTTATCAATAGGCAGATCCATCTGTTGCAGCACCTTCTTATTCTCAGCTCTTTGAAATGACGGAGCAACTGTTGTCTGAGAGCCTGCAGAGCATTTCGGTGCCTTTGGATGAGCACAGCTTTAATGGGCCCGGCGTTCCCAGCAATCTGGGTAGTCTCAGCCTTCTGTTCATCTTCAGGCTCCATTCACAGCTGGGAAGATGGGAAGAAGCTATGTTTAATCATTGCTTCCCCTGCTGTCTGTAAACTAGTGGCAACAGTAGAAATTCCACAGCTCCCTTTGCTAACACCTCTATCTGAGGGGATGAGGGCAGGGTAGATGGAGAAAGGAGAAAACAAATGGAAAATGAGGAGCGTGTGCTGTGTATCTATGGCCCACTGAAAGGAGACGGTGGTATGGGAGAAAAAGTGCTTCTCAGGGAAGGCAGTGAGGAAAGTAATATAAGGAGACGGAAGGAGGGCGCAGATAGGAATAATGCAGTAGGGAAGGGACAGAGCACACCTGGCAGGAGGGAAAGGTGATCAAAAAGAGAGATTTCCTCTTCAGCCTGTGTAGCTCCAAGTGGTTTTCTCTGCGTGTGAAAAGTTCAATTTCCCAAGTCAGGCTGAATCTGGTCTGCACAGGGAAGTTTCTCTGACTACACAGCATAGTCTCTTTTGAGCTTACTGCAGTATGAATGAACTTTTCCCTTCAGTTTTTACTCAATCCCACTCCAAACGATATAAATTAAGCTGAAAAAGTCACCCAGGGAAGAATTTGCAGTCACGTTACTGTGTCAGCATAAACATTTCAATTTATGTTCCTGATTTAGGTTATAATGGGAGAAAAACCACTCCTGTTTACAAAAGCCTTCAACACCTTTACTTCCATTACTATTATATTATGCTCCCTGACACACGTCTAAGAATCCTCCTCAAAAGCACAAATGCATAAAGGCAATTAGGTGCCCAAACACCTCCAAAGACCAGGTTTCATCTGTGTGGTCCTATACAAGCAGAAAGAAACCAAGGAGTGCATTTATGTTTCTAAACATGGGTGGTCTTTCCATGAAGACTCTTCTGACTGCTCAGGAACCTATCCCTGAAACACTTTGTCCATTTTAGTGCCTGGTTTTCAGTTGTTTGCTACATGAATGAACGTTTGCCTGTGGGCTGGGCCTCTGGTCTCCTGTGAGCCTACTAAACTATGTTGCTGTACCGTAAAAGCACTGAGTTTGATTCCAGTCACATTTCTCTTGACCCTTCTTGTCCACACTACAGAAAATGCCTGTTCTTCATTCTTCACTTTGGTGATACAGTAGTGAGCAATGTAGCAAGCTGGGGTACAGGTGAGTTATCAGTCTGTGGAAGACATGACACTGTTTGAAGGAAGAAGCTGGCACAACAGTTTCCAAGAATGTTTTGAAGACTGAAGAAAAACAGGAAGCCTAAAGGTCACCAATTTTTTAACCGAGTCACAAGAAATATTTCCATTTCTGAGAGCTTATTTAGTGAAAGAGCTTACTCTTAATCATTGGAAGTAGTGATGAAACACCAGCAGCAAGGGTTCAGTTTGTTCTTGGCCACAGACAAGCAGAGGCAAACCATGGAGATGCAACCTACCCCTCCCCCGAGAAAAAAAAAACAATAGAGAACCGAGTACACTTTATTAGTCTTTAGTAGTACTTAACAGTCTTTAGTAGTACTTAACAGTCTTTAGTAGTACTTAACAGCGCTTCGCTTCGTAGGAGGCGCATTCTGCCCTAGGTGGGGAACTGCAAACGCCTAGCTGCATATTTCACCCTTGACTTTCGCCCGGGTCCCCACTTGTTTCCTGGTCTGCGCTGCCTCACGCAGAGCCGCGGGCAGCGCGGCCGCTGCTCTCCACGCTGCCGCATCGCGACTGTCGTGTTCCCAGCGCCCTCCCAGCGCCCTCCCCGCCCGGGCGTGCGCGCTGCTGGGGGGCGGGGAGGCAGGGGCACCCACGTGGC